GGTGAAATTGTAAGCTGCAATATCAGAACAAACCAAAAGCAGTTAAAACTCTTAACTAACTAAAAAATATCATTGCAAACTATATGATCAAATAATCAATATGATCAGAAATCAGAAATTAATTATAGAAAAAAATATATATATAAAGAAAGAAACCAGCACATTGATACTTACATCCTTAGTCATTCCTCTGGTACCATAGCCAAACTTTCCACCAGCAGTATCAGATTTCAGGGCGAGCTTTAGTGATGGGTATTTGTCTGATGTCCTCAAAAAGTGATGAAAAGCCCAACTCTTGTCCTCTCCAAGCTTCTTTTCCCATGACACAGAGTAATTAGGAAATGTTACGTGTTACTCCTTTACCAAAATCAACATCCAAGTCATAGGTGCCAAAGAAACTCCCTCTAAGAAAATTCTCCTTTCCAACAGTTTGCAAGCTGGTATAGTTATGGAACATAAGTGGCTGATTCATACACCCCTTTCCAAAACATGAGAATCCATCTTCTGAATGTTCAAAGGGACCGACCTTCCTGCCTTTACTGGGGCACAATCCAGCATGTGTGTCTAGGTTACCATTTCTAAGAGTAATCATCCAAAACTGATAATAGTCAGAAATAAACCTCAGGTCGTTCCCATGTACCTCACACTTGGAACCAAGATACAGTTCCTTCTGAACAGCATACAAATCTGGGTCATTAAGATGAGACAAATCTTGTCCCCTGAATGAACTAGGAAAAGGCTTTCCAACACTTAATCTGTTATCGGCTTCTGTGACTCTATGMYGAACAGAGAATGTCTTAGGATGGACATCAAAGCAATCAGCTGCAGCCGGGCTCCCCATCTTAGGAGCTTCAGATCCAACCTTGTTACAGTAGTTCCATGAGTCTATGGCCAATCTAAGGTTAGAATTTCTCATACCAGGATCTCCCACAACGGAATATTGAGGTCTAGGCCACTCGTAATCATCTAATTGACCGAAGGAAACAGTGAAGGAAAAGATTGAAAGGAAGGAAAGAATAGCCAACACCATAGCCATTTTGTTTGTTGCAGACGCACGCACTGCAGGTAAACAGAAAAGAGAAATCAGTGTAATGGAACAGAAAATGAATAAAGAGAAAGAGAAACAAAGGAAGGGAGAAGAGACTTACCGTAATGATTTCTCAGTGTTGAATCGGACGAAGTGGAGTGTTGATGATGCTGTACGGATGCGAATGAGAGTGAGAGTGAGAGTGAGAGTGAGAGTGAGGCAGATTCTATTTACTATTTATAAAACAAGAATCCTACTTAGAGTAGGATTATTAGTAGTAACGTGTGCTGGAATGGAACTCTATTAACCGACTTAATTAACCGAGTAACAGATACAGAGATTATTAGTAGAAGCGGCAATAATAAGAAATAAGAAAACCGGTCGTCAACCGAAAAGGCTAAAATGTTGGAGTTGGAGTCCAATTCTCACTCACTCATTCATCTGTTTGGAGAGTACTTCGGACAATCACGGCTGCCTTTTTATGGCGGTTACTAACGCTCCACACCGACCAAAGCTGATGGCTCTTTATGAAGATCGAGTCGGGTCGGGTCTGGATCTAAGTGGAACCAGAACCGTCCCGGTTAATATTCCGGACAGTTATAGTGAAGACTATGTATGTTTTTATTAAATAATAACTTCAAATTTTAAATTTTGATATTATAACCTTAACAAAATTGATAGAAAAATATTTAATTAATTGTACGTATGTTAATAAATTAAATATGTTTTAGCTAATGTTATTTATCAAATTTATCATTTCAAACATAAAACATGATAGAAATTATAAAAAAATTAAGAAAATGTTATATATTCAAATTTCAATCAAATAATCAGTTTTGGGTCTGAATTGGTTCAGGACAGGCAAGTGTCAGAACCGGCCCAATTATTAACAGGAATAAAATCATGGAACCAGACCCATTATAATCGGTTCTAGCTGTTCAGGTACATCCGATAGATATGACCCATTGACAGTCCTATCTAAAGAGAGCTATCCATTGACTAAAAAGCAAAGGGTTGAATGTGAATCCCTTGATTTGTCGGGTGCTTAGGATGTTGGGTTAGGCCAATTTACGGGAATCTATGTCAGTTTCGATCTTGTAGGGAGATGCATTCAAGTTGAACTCGCATAGTCAACTAGTAGTGGACTTCAGTCCACTTCAGAAATTTAAAATTGTAGTCCCCTATAAATCGCATCCTGCCTGTGGATTTGGCATCAATCCACAATCAGGATTTAGTATAAAAATCTTAGCTCTGTCCTAGGGGTGAACTGAATGGTTAAAACCCCCCAAGAATCTATGGCAGGGATAGTGGATGTCACAAGTAGAGGGTCAAATACCATCTTCACTTGGATGGAGTGGTTCAGTTGTCACTACTCACCAAAAGGAGATCGGCTTTGGTCAAGGCAAGCCCGTGTTCACACCGTCCCAACAGCCTCTTTCAACCTTGTATTAGGAATATCTCCTCATGAAATAAAGCACATGAGTAGAGAGATATTCCCAATGCAAGACTGTAAAGGTTGCTCAAATGGGCGTTGCCCTGATGGGAGCCAAAACTCCACCAAAAGTGGAGAAGAAGATGATTTCTTTTGTTTTAAGAGGATCTTCTCCCTCCAAATACACCACTCTCTTTAAATACGCCTAATTTGTAATTACTATGGATTGGGAGTGATCATTTCAGCCCGGCCTACACAAGCCTGGCCCGGAAATTCTGGGCTTGGGCCTGGGTTTTGTGTTCAAGCCCAGCCCGGGCCCAGGCCCACATCAAGCCCATAAATTTTAGGGCTGGGTTTGGGCTTAATACTTCAAGCCCAGCCCGACCCACATATATTTAAACTTACACATTTTGTGTATAATGTATACATATGTTTACATGTTATTTTACATTATATTATATAATGTATAAAATAAGTTTATATGCATACTATGTCATTTAATATATAAATATGTAATGTTTTATATATGAGTGACATTGGCTCGGCCCGGCTCGGCCCGTATAGACCTGGGCTAGGGCTTATATTTCAGGCTTGGGCCGGGCTGGGCTCAGGCCTAAGTTATAACCCTTATCATAAGTGCCAAGCCCGGCCCGTGCCTAAGCTATAACCTTTATCATAAGTGCAAAGCCCGGCTTGGACCCGACCCATGATCACCCCTACTATGGATGTCAAAGGGCTGTGTTAAGTGGTAAACCTACCTTAATATGGTTACATATAACATTGTAAATATGGACTTTGTTGCTGCTTGGATTAACAACAAGGAGATGAATGTAAGACCTAGGGTTTTGGCAACTTGTGGTCATGGAAAGGTGTTAGAAGCATTGAAGTTATGTCCTTAGGGTGGTGTCTTTGATACTAAAATGTAGAGTGTTCTCATGTGTTGTAACTTGGGGTTCTGTGCCCATATATAATTGATATTAATAATCATTTTTAAAATAAAGTTAATATTGAGAAATTAATAAAAATAATGGTAATAATTAAATAATAATATATTATTAATTTAATGGTAAATAATTAAATGATAAAATACTTAATTATTATTATTATTGAATAATTAAAAAAATAATAATAACTAGCGGAGGGGCCCCTGCTTCACAAGGGTTAGAATGAAATTGCAACATTGCTATTTGCTACATTAAAAAAGACAATGGTTTCTTAATAAGAAACTTGCAATTATAGGTACTCAAGTCTTGAAATTCATATAAAGACTTAAAAGAGATCATCCTGTGTTCGTTTTTTAAATATTACTTCAGCAAAGCATCTCATATAAAAGAATAAGATCATACAGTGATAGCTTTGAGTTCTACTTCATAGTTGTCTTTTGTTTCATATCGAGAACTCCCAATTGAACCAGGCAGTAGGATCGTTCGGCCCGAGAACCGTCTAGGCAACTGGTTCCATTTTACCCCAAACCTGGTCCCTGGCCAAAAATCATTGAATCAGTCAACAACCCGTTGACCCGGGCGGTCAAGCCGTCAACCCGTTCAATGGTTTTTGGCCATTTTTTATTTTTTATTGTCAAAATGGGCCATCTGTTCGAACCAGATGGTCAAACCGTCGACTTAGAAACTGGTGGCCAGAACGGTTCCGTTCCCAGGTCGTTTTTTCTAGATGTCAATAATTAGACGAAATAACTTTGTAGTCATAGTCATGGGAAGGGTGGACATTGCAAGGGATTCCAAAACCTTGAAAGATAAATCCAAAGTGACCTTAAACACAGAAAAAAAAATAGCGGTAAATCCACCAAATTGGAAAGCTAAGGAAAAAAAATCAAAAAATCGAGTCCAGAGTTCCGCTTTGAAATGGAGCTAAACAGACATGCAATCAAAGAAAGAGACAAAGCAAATCATCTTGTAAGAAAATTAAAAAAAAAAACATTGTACAAGAAAACCCAAAGAAAAAACAAAAGGGATGAATAAAATGGTGGTAAACCTTAGACCGATTTGGAGGATCTTGAAAAAGAAGACCAAACATAGGAAAAAAAAAACAAACAAAATACCGCGCACGCTCGAATAAAGTCCACAGTAGAAGAAACCTTTGAATAGTAAAAATCCAAAAGCATAAAAACCATGGTTTTCGAATTGTCGTTGACTCGAACAGACGGACATTTTGGCCCGGGAACCGTCTACGCAACTGGTTTTGTTTTACCCCAATCTCAATCCTTGGCCAAAAACCGTTGAATCGATCAATGACCCATTGACCCGAGCGGTCGAACTGTCGACCCGTTTAATGGTTTTTGACCGTTTTTTATTTTTTTAATTGGGAACTACTCAAGCAATCGATTTCGTTTTATTCCAATCCCGGTACATGGCCAAAAACCATTGAATCGGTCAATGATCCATTGACCCAAGCAGTCAAACCATCGACCCGTTGGCCCGTTCAATGGTTTTTGGTTGTTTTTTATTTTTTTTAATTTTTATTATCAGAATGGGTCATCCATTCGAACCGGACGGTCGAACCGTCGACTCGAAAACCGGTGGCTAGAACGATTCCATTTTCGGGTCATATGAGTCACACACTCGAATGACATAACACATATGATACTGCTTAATGGACCTCACACACTCAATTTTTTGCTTGTAATTTTTTTGTCAGAACGGGTCATCCGTTTGAACAGGATGGTTGAATTACCGTTTTTTTTTTATTTTTTTAATTGGGAATCGTCCAAGAAACCGATTCCATTTTACCCCAATCCCGGTCCCTAGTCAAAAACCATTGAATCGGTCAACGATCCATTGACCCGAACAGTCGAATCGTCGACCCATTGACCCGTTCAATGGTTTTTAATCGCTTTTTTATTTTTAAAATTTTTGTTGTTATATATTAAATTATATTATATATATATATATATATATATATATATATATATATATATATGCTCATTGGATCTTGTAATATTCACCCTCAAGACCCTCAAGTTGCAATACAATATATAATATTAATAATTAAAAAATATTATTTATATAATACATGCTCCCAGTTCGCACATTTTATACATATATTATGCATTATATAACATTAGATATTATAAACATCTAATTTTTTATTATTTAATGTGATAGGTGCTAAACCCAACCAAGGGCATCGCCCATGATCACCCCAAGTGTTAAGCCCTATCATATTCATCATTGGTTGGCCTAAAGATTAAGGTTCTCTAGGGCTGCATTTGGAAGTGCTTCTCCAACAGACAATTTGTATTTTTCACGTTGGAGAAGTCGAAATCCAGTGAAAAAAAAATTGACAAAAAAAGTTCAATATGGGCTTTTTACATGAAATACATTTGAAGCATGAAAAAATCACATTTATCCTCTTATTTACGTTTGCATGAAACTATTTTGGAAAAAAAAAAAACTGGTGACCAGCCAAACACTAAAAAAATACTTTTTGGAAATGCCCATTTGAAAAAATGATTTGAAATGATTTTTTCAGAAGCCCGTTTAGGCCAAGCACTCCCAAACAAGGCCATGATTACTTCTAATTTTCTTTTCTAATATTTTTGGGCCAATAATGTGATTACAGTAGGCTTCCGAGTCGAGTTCACATCTGTGAACCAGAAGGGGGTGCCCCACAACGTTTCACAGCACATCTCTGCCGTGTATTGGAAATATCTCCCGATAATGTATCAGAAATGATGATATCATCATCGAGAAATATTCTCAATACACGGCGGAGATGTACTGTAGAACGTTGTGGGGCACAGATTTGAACTTGGATCGAGTTCACATCTGAATTGGTGTCCCTACAACTCATCGGATTAAACTAATCATAGTTACTACTTTTGTTGCACACCGTTAAATTAATCCGATTAAACTCATAGGATTGAACTCAGATTTGAACTCTTCCGGATCACACGGTTTACGTTCTATCTGAATTGGTGTCTCTACAACTCGTTGGATTAAATTAAACTAATCATAATTACTATTTTTGTTGCACATCGTTAACCACCTCCACGCCCCCAACCCTCAAAAATAAAAAATAAAAAAAGAAAGAAAGAAGAAAAAAGGGGGCAGGGAGAAAATAACGAATCATTCCGAAGATGGTATAAGGATTTCAAGCATAGAAGATTACAAGTGATATTCCCTTAACTCGGTAAGTTGGTGACAGTACAGATTGCTAATCAACGTTGTGAAACCCTGGAAGAAGAGAAGTGATAAATCCAACAACAATCATTTGGATCTCCTTTGCTATCCCCAACCAGTTGACACCATTCCCTGCACCAGGTTCTGGCCGATTCTCATTTTCAACTTGTTGATTAGCGTCATCCTCATGCTGAAGGTCATCTCCGACTCCAGGTTGTGCCTCTGTAAAAGGGAATAATGGAAAATAAGGCATCCCAACATTTCAGGAAGTTGATTGCATGAAATGCAAGCTTCATGGTGGACATAATTTACTGGTAGATGAGCTTAGTGTTCAAACAAAAAATGCAGGTGTATATGCAGAGAAGATAGGAAAGAACAATTACCTCCTGGAGCAGCATTCTCATCCTCCGGCCTAGCAGGAGCAGGGCCATTCTCAGCTCTGACTCCAGGTCGTGGTTGTGGAGGTGCTACTGGCCTCTGCATGCCTTGTGAAAGCCACCGTATCAGTGGTGTAAGAGCCCCAGTCTGGTATCTGCAACACCAACAATATAAACAATAATAATAGTGTTGTTTAGCAAAAATAACTCTTTTTTATTGGATCAGTAAACACCCTTTATATAGTGGAATGGAAAAAACAGGGTGACGGGATCTCCTGCAAGCAAAAAGCCAAAAACTCTGCACACTGTGAAAGTAGGGGTATCCAGTCGTACATTAATGTGCAGCTGGATGCCATGTGTACAGATTTTTTGGTTGCAGGAGATCCAGACTCCAAAACAGGATTCATGATGCCAATCCCATATAAAAGGGATAAGGCTTTGTTCAGATGAGTTGAGCACAACAAGTCAAGTTTACAAGAGCATCACCCAAATGACCAATTCAGATGAATGGACAGATTCGTCATGATGTCATGACACCCCCCCCCCCAAAAAAAAAAAAAAAACAAAAATTCTTACCTAGAATTGTCAATAAGTTTTAACTAAAAAAAAACAGAACAGTCAATAATTTGGATCATGATCCAGATCCAAATTGTATGTATGCCCAGCCCAACTCCAGTAAGATGTAAATCAGGTACAAGTTTCAGATATGCCTATATCCAATTGATCATTAATAGAACTTTACCGGCCCTAAAAGGAGAAAATGAGGGAGGGGGATTCCATAATAAGGCAACTGCAGATGATTGGATGCCATGGAATGACAACACACACTTGAACTAAGAGATTATTTCAACAAAGTGCAGCCACTTACAGATACACGACTAAAGCAAAAAAGAGAAGAAGAATGAGTCTTTGTCTTGATCCATCTTGGTTGAACACGAAAATAACAGCTAACAGCTTCAGTATGAGCAACAAGTCAATCTGAAATGCAAACTGAAATCTCCTTACAACAACTTGTCTTTGTGGGGCATGCTGTTGCCGAACGTCTTGGCCATGTTCATCATTGACTGCTCCACCCTCAGGAGCAGCTGTCCTTCTATTGGCACACACAGGAAATGCAAACATTTTTTATGATCAAATGGAATTTTCTATGTTTTCATTGCATACATCTAGTACAACTAAAAGAACATCATATACTGAAGTTTATTGACTTACAATGTAGATATATAATTCATTAGTACCACATGGTATATTGTAATACATATATGTCTTGTAAGTTTTCTTTATCCAATCCAATAACTTTGATTACAATCCCAGTAGAAGACCTAAAACTTTACCAATGGGCCTTGTCAATTTTATATATTTGTACCAAGCCCACACCAGCCCGAGCCTAGCACAAGGTCTGTATACTAAGTCATGCAAGGTAAGTTTTTAGCACCTTATGCCAATTTCAGGCCTGGTCACAATCCAAGCCCATACTCATAGTCTCATCCTTAGACAGTGCCCTTCTCTCAGCATAGCAAGGATGATCTTATAACCCTCAAACCTGTATATATAGACCTTAAGTATGATGTATATTAATATAGTGGAGGGAAAATCTTCCTCAAAAAGTAATTGCATAGTTATACTACCATCCATATGAACAACTATCGACAAAATCAGCTATGTATCCTTTTTACAGCCATTCATGTTTGTTTTCTCAATGCTGCAATTGATGGCATGGATACATCCACTTAGCTGGGCAAACACCTAGCATAAATTATGATGCAAATATAGAAAACCTAAAATGTTGGGCCAAGTGGAGAAAATGGATTGGAGCATGCATCTTTACAGTTTCTTTTTTCTGTCAATAGTGGTGCTTCTGGCAAACCTTTTAGGAGGGTCCATAGATCTCAGGTGGGGCAACCTGGTCTCTCCATTTCTCTTCATCATGGAAGTAGAGGCTTCAAGTATAATGATACTCAGTGCTCAAGATCTTGGGTCGATTTCTGGTTTCAAAGTTAATATGAAAGCCCTATTATTATCCACATCCAGAATGCAGATGAAACACAGTTCTTGATTTCTCCATTGACCAGGCTAGAAATGTAAGTATTCATCAAAAAAATTAAGAGCAATGTTGTGTTATTTTGAGGAAAAGTCTGCTGGAACATAAGACTTTCTTCTTTCAAGACTGTTGGAACATAATTAAAGGAGACTTGCTAGAAGTTTCAAAGAATTTGAGGAACAGTCTATAATTAGTCGTGGAGTAAATGCAACTTTCCTAGCCCTGGTCCCAAAGAAGAAAGAGGCCAAACATCCCAAAGACTTTAAGGCCAATCAGTTTGGTAACAAGCATCTATAAAATACTGGCAAAGGTCTTATCTTTGAGGATCAAAAAGGCTCTTCCCCCCCTCATAAGTCAAGCTCAAGGTGCTTTTGTTCATAGTTGCTAAAAGTCAAGATGTTTGGGCAAGGCGCCTAGGTGACACCTTGACAACTATGCCATGGAGCCTAATAAACGATCAAAATTTATTCGTGATGATTTCTAAAAATCCAATCAATACCTGCCCCCAAATAATAATAAAATAGAGAGGAAGACCATGGAACTTTCCTGCTTTGGAGACAGTGCCTAGTACCAAAAAGGCAGGTTTCAGTGGGAATAAACTATGAGAAATAGGAGGGACAAGAAGGTCAAATCTTCAAAAAAAACAAAACAAAGATATGGTAGTTCAGCAGGCATCTTAAGGAAAAACATAGCTAAATGATTTGATTCTTTCCATTTCCTATTATTAACAAATTCATCAATGATGGAAAAATGTGGATAACAAATATTAAGACAAGTAGACAACATTCCCAAGCATAAGAACATAGGAGACACCAAAACAGAGACCAGGAAATTACAACTACAAGGCCACAGATGGAGCAAAAACCAAAAAAAAAAATGCAACATTGTAACTTAGAAGTACAAAAAAAACTAGAAAATAAACCATTCTTAGACATCAACACCCAAATGTAAAGAAGTCCTCATCAACCCTCCTTAGAAAGACCATCTACCACCGAGGGGGTTTTTACCAATATGCATGATTTTTTTAAAACAGAAACTGCCACATCAGAAAGAACAATGTAGCAGTTGTTTTTGTTTTAAAAAGCAAAGTCATGCATATTGGAAAACACCTTTTGACTTGGCAGACCTTGAGATCCATCTGAATGAGGTGTTTATTCTGGAACCTAAGGGAAGAGGACCTTGTCAAATCATTTAATCACAGAGAGACACGTTTTTATTACTTATTAACCAGTGGACACAATCAATTTAGAAATAATGTTCCTGCTTTCAAATAAGAGTGCCAAAAAAATACTTACGTTGGTAGACTGTAGGTAAGGGGAATAAGAGTGTTGGTTGGAATTCCAGACATTGGCCCCATGAATGGAAGAACAGGAACAGCATATATGCCAGCACCACGATTACTGTGTTCCTGGTTCTGCACAGGGATTAACCCTGGGGCAAGTGCAGGGTACATGATTGGATACATCTGAAGTTCACCATTGGGAAAAGCAGGGAAAAAAGGAAATGCAGGTACCTGAGAGGGAAGAAAAAGAAACAAGGAAAAGAGAGTTATCACTAATCATAGAATAATCACCAAAAAAAATTTTAAGAACAAGAAGAAAAGGAGAAGCATCAAATATTTAAACCTTAAAGACCACAAAGGCCTATATGACTTCATATTTTCTTTTCAACATTATACATCAGTCTATATTGATGCTGAGACAAGATACAAATAAACATATACACATATTGAAAAACACAGCAGTTGGAGTTGGATGTTTGCTTTTGGTTAAATACATAGTATTCCTTAAAGGTCTATCTACTTTCAGATGCTGACCTGCTTAGTTATATCTTTCTTATAAGGCTTTTTTGGTCCTTCCTCTCTCTAAGACACCGCCGATGTGTTGGCATGTCCAAATGGAAATTTCTGATCATAATGGCTGCAAAGTTTAAGTACTGTGTGAGTTGTAAGCAATTGCATTGGCTGCAAAAGTTTCAGGCAAAATGGTTTCCTCCAGTAAACCAAAGATTTAAACTTAACTTCGATGGAAGCCCCTCCAGAAACCAGGGTCCTTTGGGCATAGGTGGTGTAGTAAGAGATGGAGAAGGAAGAATTGTGGCTGTGTTTTCTGGGCCAATAGGAGTGGCTGACTCGCTAAGAACTTAAGTGTTATCTCTCCATCAAGGAATGAGATTGGTAAAGCAGTTGGGTATTCAACAGTTTGAAGTGGAAGGGGATTCAAAATTAGAGATAGTGTGGCTGCAAACAGGTACTATGGGGACTTGGACTCACAGGCAGAGCTTGAGGGAGATTACAAGCCTTTCAAGAGAGATTGGAATGATGTTTAGATGGGTTAGAAAGTCAACAAATGGTTTGGCAGACTCTCTAGCCAAACAAGGGACAGATAGAGGAGATTTATTCTGGACTGAGTTGTAATAGCAAACTTGCTGGTGGTCAGAAACCCTACTTTAAGGGGTTGGACCGTTGGACCTTTGTGTCCTTCAAATTTTATCAAGTTTTAATAAAAGTTATCGTTTCCCATTAAAAAAAAAAAAAAACTCTATTGGTGTTTTTCATCCTATATATTATGTCCTCTCTGCTCAGTATGTCAAGATTGCTTGATCTCATTTTGTTTTCACCAACTTGCAGATAGTTAATAACTAAATTGTATGAATTCATTTGCATAAATGATCAATAAGTATCCTCCTCTACATGGCTTCCTGTTGGGATTCAGTTCAAAAAAGAACTTTGGGTCATCTATTGTTATGACATGTCCAGAAATCTCTCTGCTATTCCTTGACCTTCACTGATCTCACACCCAGAGATGGCTACCTAACAACAGCCATTTTCCTAAGAAAGGGCACATGCTAGGCATTTATTGGCCTCATTAGGGAAGCTCAGGCTATATAAGCAGAAGTAACAGCCCTTCTTGTTGGCCTTAGAGAGGTCATGTCCTGGAGTCTATCTTCCCTTCTTGCGAAACAATATTTTGCAAATACCATTAGATGGGGAAAGAATTTGGTAGAGGACCATGGTGGCTATTGAATAATCTGAACAATATTCGTCAGTTTCTGGATTCTTGTATGCTGCATTGGATTACGATGAATTTCCGGGCACTGATTTCTAACATATATTGCGGATAAATCTGGAGTGAATAAGGAGAGGATGTACAGTGGGCCATTGCCTTAGACATTGTGTTTAGAACTTTTTCTCCATATGGCATTGATCAATTGATGTTTTTTTGCTGGCAATCTATTAAGCATATCTGCATCTCGCAATCTCTTCTATTATATTAATGAAATAGATATGACCATTACTGACCAAAGAAAAAGGAAACTGACTAATTATGGTGCCTGCCATGCATTATTCAAATTATAGGTTTGCAATTGGATACATCATTCAAATTTTATGCCCTAGGAAATCTGCAAAAAAATAACCCTAGTACAAAGAAGATTGGTTTCACTATTAATCATTTACAACTAGTTCTAAGTACTTAAAGTTGTTTGGTGAGTTACGTAAACTTGACTTTGAGGGAATGAGTAACCCTCACAAAGAAAATTCACTGATGTAGTCTAAGGTTTTGTATTTTAGGGGTTGGTTTTATGTCAAATAAAGGGCATTTCGGAAAGATACGTTCAAGTGGTGAAGTAAAGGAAGCTCTGATTATGGGTCCTAGGACTAAAAGCGACAACAGCAAACTTCCACAATGCATAATGAGGTGGTTACCTAAGTCCAAAAAGACAACATGGGAGAGGATGATCGGAAGATAATATTCATGCTTATGAAGAGACTCTGGAGTAAATAGAAGGCTGAAGCAGAATCGATTGTAAGATTTGAAAATCATGGAATAATAAAAATTTCATCATGATTTCTTGATGGTTATTATAGGTTCTTCGTGTTTGTCCCCCTCGGAGGCAGGATCTTTATGTTTTGCTAGAATCTATGCACAAGTATTTCTGTGTAACTTGTGCTTCATATCAGGTCATATCCATATAGCTTTGACCATATCATACCTTAAGAGAGCTTTTCAACATTGAGAATCTTATAATTCCCAGCCAGTTAGGACACTTGAAAACAGCGTTTTCAAATCCTTATCCTCTAAGAGAGACAATAAATAAATATAAAAATGAAAATAAAAATAAACTAACCCATAGCTTTTAAGAATTTCGGAACTTTCAAATAATCAAAAGCTCCAGAGATAAAGAACGAAAGGAAACCATTTAATGTTGAGAAAAAAGAAAAAGAAAAATTCGTGAATTCAGTTTTAGAACCAACAAAATCATCTTCTGCAAATAGAAACCAGAAAACACAAAATCATGAACCTCTAGGCACTCATATTCGGAAAACCATGAGAAACCGAACGAAAAAAATGAAACCCTAGATCAATATGAAAAGTTGTGCAAAAGGAACGGAGAAGAATAAATCGGATTGAGAGATCACAAATTGACAATTCGGATGGCGGTTCGAAGGTTTGAGTACCTGAGACTGAGACTGCTTGAGATTTTCTTCAGATGACTTGGGTAGCGAAGAGGGTGGAGGGTTTGAGACCCGAGTTTCTGATTCTTCCGCCATTACAGGTGCTCGCCAAATCCCGAGTTCTGGAGAGAGAGAGAGAGAACAGGAGTTTCTTATTAATTGACTCCGAAGAGTGGAGATGGTCCGGACCCATTGCTGAATGCGTGTCATCGCCAACGTGTTGGTCATTCATTGGATGGAATCTTTTGCAAGCTTAACAATTTTTTAAGCTGGCGGTTTCCACAGTTAAACTTCCCGGTTAAAACCAGAAAGTCTGAACCGCCCAGCCACCCGATTCGTTGCACCAAATATTTGAGGGCACATATGAGGGCTGAATGGTATTAGCGGTGGTGCCGTGGTGCATATTCGAGTCCCGCTATTGAGACCGGATCTACTACTCACACATGACGCCTCGCACCGACCTTACAGCACATCCCGCCGTGCATTGGGAACATCTCTTGTACTTATGTGTTATTATTTACGGGAATTGTTCCTAATGCATGGTGAATGTGCCTATGAGGTCGGTGTGAGTAGTAAATTCTAATTCTCCACTATTATCATCTTTATAAGAAAAATAATTAGAGGGGACCTGCGCATATGGTTAAGTTAAGGGAAAATCCTTAATTAGTACCATGTTCTTTTTGGGCCTAGTGCCACTTTGGTTTCTGGTTTTTAAAATGCGACGATTCAGTACCCAAATTTTTAAAACGTGATAATTCAGTACCTATCACTAACTAACCGTTTGGTGGCATTTGAAAATGACACAAATGCCCTTCAAGTGTTATTTAATTTTTTTTATCAACCATCTAAACGTTGACAAAAAATTAACGGTCTTAAATATTTTCCTTTTCCATTCAAGAAAGTTGGGGTCACATCACATTTGAGTGGGCATTCTGGTGACCCCAATGTTGACAAAAAATTAACAATCTCAAAGGGTTTTTTGTCTTTTTCAAATGCCACTTAATGACTAGTTAACAACTAGTTAATAGTAGGTACTGGATTGTCATGTTTTGAAAGTTTGGGTATTGAATTGTCGCATTTTAAAGTTTGGGGACCAAAGTGGCACTAGACCCAAAGTACATGGCACTAAACAGAAATTTTCTCTTAAGTTAAAGATAAACAATATAAACATGTAAGAGTATATAAATGTTTTATATAATAATTAATAATTATTTATATTTTGTATATTACTTCTAATAACTTTTTTACAATACAAAAACAATAATAATTAATTTTAGATAGGATTGTTTATCAAACTTAGGGATGGTAATTTTTCCTATTTCCCTAATCCCCATGGGGATCTGCCCCAAATGGGGTGGGGATGGGGACGATTTTTCCCTACAAGGATGGAGATGGGGAAATTTTCATCCCTGTTGGTGGGGACGGTGTGGGGACAAGGAGAGCACTCCCTGCTCTGTGTGGACCCTAATCCCCGCCCCATGGAATCCTTGCCAATATATATGTATATATAACGAATACATTTATATATGTATATATGTACACATACATCTATATGTTAATATTTTTAGAAATATAGTTGAATATGTTTGAATCTTAAATTTTAATTATTTTATTTTTATTTTTTTAATAAAATAAAAAACAAAAAAATAATGGTTGACATTATAAAGAATCACAGGAGTGGGGATCCCCATGGAGACATGGATGGGGATAACTTTGTCCCCGTTACCGAGGATGGGGATTTTCGCAAGGACGGGGATAGGGAGAGGCTCCTCGTCCCTGCTCCACCTCGTTGCCATTCTTAATCAAACTAATGAAACTGACCAACCCGATTTCTACTATTTCCAATCGATTTTTGTTCAACAACTTCCCAACCCGACTAGGTTGGATTAGTTTCGCTTTGGCCATTTGCAAATTGACTAAAATCAAACGACCTAAACATATATATATATATATATATATATATATATATATTCAAATATATTTTTTTAATACGAGAAAGTGGAAAATTTCCAATATTTCTTAGGCTAAAATAGTATATATCATAATTTTAATTTTTAAATTTATTTATTTAATAATGCCATTGTAATTTTTTTTAAAATTAAACTTAATTTTTTAAGTTTAAATCTTTCGAACCAACCGACCAAACCGAAAATTGACCCAAACCGACATAATTTGAGTGACCAACCCCCCAACCTGACCAGGTCAATTTGGTTGGCCAAACAACCTACAACTGAACCAAACCAACCCATGAATAAAAGTTTAATCTCCAATAAATATTAAAAATTTGTAGCGAAAAACATAATAAATTAAATTTAATAAGCTAAGTAACAGTAGTTTAAACTCCAATAATTATTGAAAATTTTCTATTAAATAAAAAAATAAAAATAGATTTATACATAATTATTGAAAATATATTTATCATAAAAACAATAAATAATTACTGAAATACAATACATATTAATTTTAGTTAGATAAATATATAATAAATAAAGATAGTTTTTAAAATTATTATTAATAAACAATAATTTTTTTGAAAGTTATTTTCTAGAATTGTTAATTGGTATAAATGAAATAAGTTATTTACAATATTATTTATTTATTGAAATACTATCACTATTTAAATTTTAAAATATTAATTACTTGTTGAATTTAATAATCCATAAAATTATAGTACTATCAATACACGATTTTGTTATTTTAACTATTTAAAATCTAGTTATGTTAAATATTTCGTTATTTAACAAAAATAATTAAATTCTTAATCTATTTATTATAATTGAAAGTTATTCAGTATCTATTTAAAATATATTATTAATTGATTTAATATATTATTTAACTAAAATTTTAAAATCTTCATTTTAACGCTTCCCCCAATGGTTGAGCATTTATTCACTATTCCATTGATGTAGTGCCTAATGGCACCTAGTTGTCCATAAACAGTCAAGTACTTTTCTCGGTTTTGAAGACAAATCAAGTACAAACGTTTATTTAATAAACGGATGCTACACCAAACACATACGTAATCTTCACTTGAAAAAGTACAGCCCCTATGGGGTGTGTGAGCCATTGGTTAATACCAAAAAAAAGGGGGTTCACCTTTTGGATTTTGAGCGGGGGCAAAGTTGCTCGAGGTGAATCCTGCTAACCAAGAAGCCCATGTTCCTTTTTTAGATTTACAAGCGGAGGACCCCTGTGTTATGTAGTGAGAAGATAAAGTAGTTTTCAAATAAACAATTTTATGGGTTTATTACTTAAATGTGAATTCGATATTGATCAATGCAAAGCCCATTCAAACAACAGTTATAGCCTTGCATTGGGAATATCTCCTATGTTTTATTTCATGGGGAGATATTTCTGATGTAAGGTTGGAAGAGGTTGTTCTACCATCGTGAGCTAAGGCTTGCACTAACCAAATTTGAAAATGTACCATGAACTTTCAAATTATACTTATATATACCTTGTTGATCAGCCCCATTAATACCTTGCTCTTTTATAATGCCGATATTACCCTTATAACTAAAAACCAAAACCCAGATGGACTTTTGGTAACAATATTCTAACACATGTTTGTATTTTTATCTTATTTCTGTTTTCCTAAGCACTACATTCATATTTTTGGCCAACCCTATTACTAAAAAACATTTAATTAAGGGACTTACTCATAGAAGACCTTTTTGATGGGACCATAGCAAAACTTGGAGACAACGAAAGTATCTATTATACAAAGTACTGATTGCTAGAACTGGGGTTCTCTAATGTGGCTTCAACTTCCAATAAAAGGTTTACAATCCGTTGCATGGGCTCCTTGTCAATGGACGATTGAACTGCCAATTTTTCACAATAATGAAATATCAAAGGTAAACTCAGGAAAATCAAACGAAAACCATTTAAAGGAAGAAAAAAATGAAGAGATTGAAGGTTTTGAGGAAGAGGGTAACTCTGACTTACGAGATTTCTTCTCAATTTCATCGATGATGGGTTAATGGCTTTGTCTTCAGCATCTTCGAAACGACTCAAGAAAAAATAGAATCTCTTATAGGGTGTTGATTTGCAAGGTATAGCCTCTAATCTTGAACTTCCTTTGGACCTTCTTCCTCGTTCCTGCTCTTATCTTCTTCGCCTGTTTACTCTGATACTCTTTCCTGCTCCCATCTTATTCGATGGGTCGAGTTTGGTTCGAGACTGGGGGTGGCAATTATATTTGTCAACTCCCTAACACTCCCCCCCCCCCCCTCTCTCTCTCTCTCCCCGCTCTCTTTCCCTTCCCCTGTTCCACCACCGCCACTGTAATGGCATATTTGGCATCATATCCCCTTCTCTCTCTCTCCTCTTTCCTTCCCTTTTTTGCCACTCTTGTTCCCTCTCTCTCTCTCGAACATCATTGGCGAGTTCATCTATTTTGAGAACTTAATAAACAGTTAAGGTTATTTTTGTCTTTTACCTTTTATTTAGATACATTTAAGTAATTTATTAAATATACAAGGTATATACAAGTAATTAATCCTAATTTTATTCATGGGGTTGGAAGATTGAAAATCATTAAAAAAAAATAATTTGTCAAAAAAATATAAATTGTCTTTTTGAAAAAAAGAAAAATAAATTATTTTCAGTAAATTAAAACTTTTTTTAAATAAAACCACATAACCTCTCCACCTCTTTCTCTCCTAACACAAGACCCTATCGGATCCCACATAATCCTTCCCCCCCCCCCCCCCCCCCCCCCCCCCTCCTTCCCTTCTCTCTTTCACCCCAATACCCCATTATGACACAAGGTCCCATACAAACTCTCTCTCTTTCTCTCCTAACACAAGACCCTATCAGGTTCCATACAACCTCTCTCTCTCTCTCTCTCTCTCTCCCCTAATATTAGATCCATTGGGTGCCACACAACCCCACACTCTCTCTCCCCCTCTTTCTCTTCCACCCCATTTATGACATCGGGTCCCACACAACCCCTATCTCTCTCTTAACACTCGGCCCATTGCATCCAACATACAACCCCTTCTTTCTTACATTTAGCTTAACCATATCCCACATATGCTTGTAAATGATACCCAAAATCCAAGGCCCATCCAATATTCGATTCGATTATCTTAGATTTAGATGATGTAATTATGTAATCAGATCAGACTCAAATGTTACAAACTTGCAAT